GGAATGAAATACTTAAAAGTCTTAGAGAAAGAAACAAAATTCACGTCGGACATTTATTTCTTTGAGTTAGGGGTGCTGTAGATTTATTTTCCAATTTACTTTCACTAGCTTATACGTATTGCTAGACTATCAATCCAGAAACTTAGCTAATGTTCTCGGGTCCTGGGTTCATATCCTGCCATGGTGTAATTTGAATTCACTAAAGAATCCAGAATTAAGGGTCTAATAGTGAACATGAAACCAATGCTGATCGTTAGAAAAAAAGAACCTGGATTTGTCAATGTCCTTTAGCGAAGAAAATCTGCCATCCTTACCTGGTCTGGCCGACATGTGACTCCAGGCCCACAGTAATGTATTGATTGTTAACTGCCCTGTGGGCAATTAGCGATGGACAATGAATGCTGGTCTAGTCAGAGATGCCCACATCCCGTGAGTGAATTTCAAAAAAAAGCACAGAGCGTGTCCATGTACCCTAGGTTAAAGATCAGAATAAGTTGTCCTGGGAGGGGAAAAGAAGATATTATTTGCTTTGAGGATGGAAATAAATGCCAAATTGAATTTGAAACAAAGGATAGAGATTGTAATTTTGAAGCGGTTTCCTACAGCCTTCACTGTAGACTTTGAATCTCTTATGCATTGCTGGCATTTTTAAAAAGCTGAAAATTAATGGAAACTTATTTTTCTTTTACTCTTGGGAGAAAGAAGTTACTGAGCAATAATATTATTAATTCCTAACTGTCAAAGAAAAACCTGTGTTCAATAAAATTGAAGAAATGACACTTGTGTTTTTAGATGAAATGTAAAAATGCAATCTTCTTGTTCACTATAGATTCCAAAATATCCCATGGAAGTGTCAAAACTCAAATACTTGAGGGGCCATGCCCCTTAGCTCCCTAGGCTAAAACCTTGAGCACCTGCTGTAACTCTGCATATGTTTCTGTAATCCAGACATGGAGATTCAAATAGGCTTGTTTCGAGCCAGCTAGCCTCAGACAATGCAAACTACAAATACTGAGCAGGGCCCAGGGTGGGGTTTTATTATGCAGGAGAAAGTTGCATTTCCTGCATTGAAAATGGCTGCCTCCTAAAAACGGCTGCACTGAATATTTTTTTCATCGCTCGTGGGACGTGGGTGTAGCTGGCTAACCAACATTTATTGCTCATCCCTATCTAGTTTCCCTTCAGAAGGTGGGAGTGAGCTGCCTTCTTGAAATGCTACAGTCCATGTGCTGTAGGTAGACCCACAATGCTGTTAGGGAGGGAATTCTAGCTTTTGACCCAGCAACAATAAAAGAACGGTGATGTATTTTCAAATCTGGATGGTCAGTGGCTTAGAAGGGAACTTGCAAGTGGTGGTGTTCCCATGTATCTGTTGCCTTTGTCCTTTTTGATAAAAGTGGTCGTGGTTTTGGAAGGTGCAGTCTAAGTTCTAGGTCTAACTTCTTGGTGAATTTCTGCAGTACACACTGCTGCTACTGAGTGTTGGTGGTAGAGGGAGTGGATGCTTGTGGACGTAATTCCAATCAAGTGGGCTGCTTTGTTCTAGATGGTGTCAAGCTTCTTGAGTGTTGCTTCCCCATCCGGGCAAGTGGGGAGTATTCCAACACAGTGAAATAAGAAAGGGTAAGGCATGGACTGGGCTGTGGTTTGATTGTCTGTAGAGAAATTATTTCAAACAGTCCCTTACTGGATTTATTTGATGGAGAGGAGGGTGACATTACTATAGATACTATACTTTGGATCCTCCTGTGGCAAGTGAACTAAATTGCAAAGCAAATGCTCGCCTACCCCATACACATAGAATGAACTACAAATTAGTCTGTTTCAGAGGCAGGAAATGTCACTGCTGCATGTTATCCTGGTGATTGCTTCATTCCCTCTCTCGCTTTCATATTTTTCACCAACTTGGTAATCGAATGCTTATGACACTGTAACATCAATTCAGAGTCTATAAGCACCACTATGTTAAATTGGAGAAATTGTGAAGCCTGGCTAGTGTAGGAAAATGGCTATAAAATACTAATGTCCTTTAGGAAAGGAAACCTACCAGCCCAGGTTCAAAGCGGAGTCATTGCACTCGAAAAATTAACGCTACTTCTCACTCCACAGACGCTGCCAGACCTGCTGGGTTTCTCCAGTATATTGTGTTTTTATTTCAAATCTTCAGCGTCTGTGGATTTTGCTTTTATTTAGTCTACTACTTGTAGTTGACCTACCGTATGTGTGACTTCAGTTCTACACTATGTAATTGATTTAATCACTTTAGCACTAATATATACTGCCCTGCCAATGTTACCTGTGTGCCAAAAGAAACTTTAGAAACGCCCGCTTTCTTTTCCTCTCTGTGTCATTCTAATCCATTCCCTCCCATGTTTTTCACTCATTTTCTCACCTAATGCTTGAGTTTTCAATCGTCTGTTGAGGTGTGGATGTGCTGCAGGAGAGCTTGGGCATAGATATTCTGAAAATAATGGTCCCTGATGATGTATGAGTGTCCTGATGCCTCTGGGGCATATGAGTATTTTCACAACCAGAGACAGGGAGCCAACAACTCATTTGACTCCAGTTAAATGCTCATTCAGCTCCCTGAGAGGTTCGTTAATAGACAGATAAGAACCAAAAGTTGAATTTCAAATTGTAGACTGGCAAAACTGTGTTTCCCAATTAAAATGTGCCCTTAAAGAGGTTTTAAGACATGGAAGAGATTTATAGCTATTTGGAATCCATGGGAATTATGGAATATGAGGATTGAGTGAGAAAGTGGAATTAAGGTGCCTTGATATTGGAATTCAAGCTCAAATAAAAGCAAAATACCCCACAGCTAGAAATCTGAAATAAACACCAAAAATGCTGGAGAAACGCACTAGATGTGGCAGCATCTGTGCAAAGAGAAACAAAGTTAACGTTTCCTGTCCAGTCTGACTCCTCTTCTGTTCTGAAGAAAAGTCATATTGGATCTGCTTCTTTCGCCACAGATACTGCCAGACCTGCTGTGTTATTTGATATTGAATTTCAGAGTAGGCTTGAGAGCTTGTACAGCCTACTCCTACTTTTCCTTTACTATATTATAGCGTTCTGAAATAGAATTGTAGAATCCCCACATTGTGAAAGCAGGCCATTCAGCCCATACCGACCCACTGAAGGGCATCTGCCCTATCCCTGCATTTCTCAGTGGTTAAGCCACCTAGCCTGCACAGCCCTGGACAATTTAGCATGGCTAATCCACTTAACCTACACATCTTTGAACTGTGGGAGGAAACCCTCGCAGAGAACATGCAAACTCCACACAAACTGTTGCCGAAGGGTGGAATTGAACCTGGGCCCCTGGTGCTGTGAGGCAATGGTACTAACCGCTGAGCTACCATTCCGCCCCAGTAGCAGTGCATCACTTAGGGCTAGCAGATATGAGAGATGCTGCAAGACCCTCCCTTTATCTACAGCTTTGGGTTACCAGACCTCACTTAGGCAGATGATTTGTTCTGATGGTGATCCTCAGATTAAACTCGCTACCACTCCTCTCTCTCTAATGAGAGTGCAGCCTGTGATCGTCTGGGAATAGGATGACTTTCACATATGTATTTATGTTTAATAAAGCCTGTTCATGTTCACTCAACTGATAGTTCTGAGGAAGGGTCACCGGACCTGAAACATTAACTCTGTTTTTACCTTCACAGATGCTGCCAGACCTGTTGAGCTTTTCCAGCAACTTTGTTTTTGTTTCAAGTTTTTATATTGTTTCCATCTCAATCTATTGATTGTGTTTGCTGCAGCATCCACATTCTTTGAATAAAATTAACATATAATTTGCATCCAGGCCTCGGATGGCAGGACTGATGTATGAGGAGAGATTGACTAGGTTAGGATTGTTTTCACTGGAGTTCAGATGAATGAGGGGGAATCTCATAGAGACTTATAAAGTTCTAACAGGAATAGACAGGGTAGACATAGGGAGGATGTTCCTGATGGTGCATCTGACCAGAACCACGGGGCACAGTTTGAGGAATCTGGGTAGACCATTTAGGATGGAGGTGAGGAGACATTTCTTCACCCAACGAGTGGTGAGCCTGTGGAATTCATTATCACAGGAAGTAATTGATGCCAAAACATTTAATGTATTCAAGAGGCAGCCAGATATAGCACTTGGGGTGAATGGGATCAAACTTAATGGGGAGAAAGCAGGATTAGGCCATTGAGTTGGATGATCAGCCATGATCGTGAAGAATGGGGGAACAGACTTAAAGGGCTGAATGGCCTCCTCCTGCTCCTATCTTCAATGTTTCTATGTTTCTATATTGGTGTTTTTATTGGTGGTTTTTATCATTTGGTAAAGGGAAGAATTGACCCTTCAAAACTCATCATCTGATCCTCTTTTTTTATTCTGTCATGATAGTATGAGAAAGAAAAGGATTTTGTAAGATGGGAGTTGTGGAGTGAAGGGTTAGTTGTACCTTTATTCTAATAATAGCCACTGGCCATCCTTGTGAGGAGCATTGTCATAATAACATTATGTCATGTGGAAGTGGGGCCTGTGTCTGTAGCATTCCAGATATATCCTCTCTTATCATCCCTTTGGGGATCAGTATCTGGATTGGCTGGATGGTTGCAGAGTGACACAGCACAAATTTAATTCCTGTTCCAGCTGAGGTTGCCATGAAGGCTTGCCCCTCATGAGACAAGGTGATCCTCAGATTAAACTCGCTACCACTCCTCTCTCTCTAATGAGAGTGCAGCCTATGATCCTCCGGGAATGGGATGACTTTCCCATATGTATTTATGTTTAATAAAGCCTGTTAATGTTCACTCACCTGAGTGTAAGCCTGATCTTACTAATGTACAACCATGGTGTCATGTAAAACCCTATTTAGACAGTCATTCCAGTTCAGTTACATCACTTCACTCATAAACTGGTTATTTCGAAACATTGTAGATTTAAGTAAGATAACCATTCTCTCAACTTTTTAGAAGATACATTTCCTTTATTGTCTTCCATTTTTTTTCAGCCCTGTAACTGTACAGTTGTGGGATCTTTAAACCTTCAATGTGATGATGCAACAGGCTGCTGTTTCTGTCGTCCAAAGTTCACAGGGGAAAAATGTAACCGATGCAGAGAAGGTTACTGGAACTATCCACTGTGCCGGCACTGTGACTGTGATCTGGCAGGGACAGAGAGTCAAACCTGTGACGAAGCCGGAATTTGTTCATGTGCAGATTATAGCGGACAGTGTAACTGTAAGGTGAGTTCATATTTTTTAATGGATGGAATCATGTAATATCCAATAAATACTCAATCATGCCAGTTAAATTTATTAGAATTCTTAGAGGAACTAACAAGCAGGATAGATAAAGAGGAAGCAGTAATGTAATATGTTTGGATTTCCAGAAGACATTTGATTAGATACCGCATGATAAGCTGCTAAATAAGATAAGTGACCATATGTTGTGGTAAGATGGGCATTGTAGGACGTCAACCTATAACTGGTGGAGTACCATGGGAATCAGTGCTGCGTCCATAATGATTTACTATATACATAAATATATATTTATTATCTATTAATAATTTGGATAAGGGATGTGTACTGTCGTCAAGTTTGTGGATGATATATAAATAGGTGGAAAGACAAGTGGAGAGGAAGACACAATGAATGTGCAGAAGAAGAGAGAAGGGTTAAGTGAGTGGACAAAAACCTGGCAGATGGGATATAATGTTTAAAATGGGAGGTTTTACGCATTGGTAAAAAAAAGTAAGGATTAGAATATTATTTAGGTAGAGGAACACTTCAGGAAAGAAATCTGCTGTCCTTACCTGGTTTGGCCTACATGTGACTTCAGACCCAAAGCAATATGGTTGACTCTCAGCTGCCCTTTGGGCAGTAAGGGATGGACAATAAATGCTGGCATAGACAATGCTACTCTCATTGTGTGAATGAATCAAAACAAAAGACTGCGGAAACATGCAGCACAGGGGGATTTGGGGGTCACAAAATGCTAGCATACAACTTCAGCAGGCAATAGAGAAGGCAAATGGAATATTGTCCTTTATTTCAGTGGGAATGGATATAAAAATAGGGAAGTCTCACTAAAACTATGCAAGGCACTACTGAGTTCACACCTGGAATATTGTGAAAAGTTTTGGAAAGATACACTGGAGTCCAGAGAAGGTACACATCTTTGATCCTGCATCTGGAGAGATTGTCTTATGAGGAGAGGTTGAGTAGTTTGAATCTGGCCCCAGTGGAGTTTAGAAGAGTGAGAGGTGACCTTTTTGAAACATTCAAGGTTCTTAGGGGACTTGATATAGTCAATGCCGTTGCTTCCCTGCTGTGGGACACTCTAAGACCAGAGGACACAATCTGAGAGAAGGGGATTGTCCATTTAAGACAGAGATGAGGATGAATGTCTTCTCTCAGGCTGTGGAATCTTTTACACAGAGAACCAGAGGTTAGATTGTTAAGTATATTCAAGGCTGAGAAGGATAAATTTTAATCAATAAGGGAATCAAGATTTATAGGGAAAGGTCAAGAAAGTGAAGTTGAGGATTATCTCATTGAATGGTGGAGCAGACTTGATGGGCCAAATGACTTCTGCTCTAATGTCTTATAGTCATACAATGGGACACTTAGAGTCATGGAGATATACAGCACGGAAACAGACCCTTTGGTCCAACTTATCCATACAGACTGGGTATCCAAGTTAAATCTAGTCCCGTTTGCCAGCTTTTGGCCCATCTCCATCTAACCCTTCCTATTCATATTCCCATCCTTTTAAATGTTGTAATTGTACCATCCTCCACCACTTCCTCTGGCTACTCATTCCATACACACACCACCCGCTGCATGAAAAAGTTGCCCCTAAGGTCCGTTTTATATCTTTCCCCTGTCACCTTAAACCTATGCCCTCTAGTTTTGGACTCCCCCACCCCAGAGAAAAGACCTTGTTTATTTACCCCATCCATGCCCCCCACGATTTTATAAACCTCTATAAGGTCACCCCTCAGCCTCCAATACTCCAGAGAAAATAGCCCCAGCCTATTCAGCCTCTCCTGAAAGCTCAAACCCTCCAACCCTGGCAACATCCTTGTAAATCTTTTCTGAATTCTATCCATGTGCATAGATCACTGAAAGTTGCCACCCAGGTTGATAGCGTTGTTAAGAACGCGTACAGTATGTTAGGTTTTATTGGTAGAGGGATTGAGTTTCGGAGCCATGAGGTCATGTTGCAGCTGTACAAAACTCTGGTGCGGCCGCACTTGGAGTATTGCGTACAGTTCTGGTCACCGCATTATAGGAAGGATGTGGAAGCATTGGAAAGGGTGCAGAGGAGATTTACCAGGATGTTGCCTGGTATGGAGGGAAGGTCTTATGAGGAAAGGCTGAGGGTTTTGAGGCTGTTTTCGTTAGAGAAAAGAAGGTTAAGAGGTGACTTGATAGAGACATACAAGATGATCAGAGGATTAGATAGGGTGGACAGCGGGAGCCTTTTTCCTCGGATGGTAATGGCTAGCACGAGGGGACATAGCTTTAAATTGAGGGGTGATAGATATAGGACAGATGTCAGAGGTAGGTTCTTTACTCAGAGAGTAGTAAGGGCGTGGAATGCCCTGCCTGCAAAAATAGTAGACTCGCCCACTTTAAGGGCATTTAAATGGTCATTGGATAAACATATGGATGATAATGGAATAGTTTAGGTTAGATGGGCTTCAGACTGGTTTCACAGGTCGGCACAACATCGAGGGCCGAAGGGCCTGTATTGCGCTGTAATGTTCTATGTTCTATGTTCTAAGTTTCACAACATCTTTCCTGTAGGATGGAGACCAGAATTGCACGCAATACTCCAAAAGTGGCCGAACCAATGTCCTGTACAGTCTGATTGATAGCTCCAGGTCCTTATAAAGTCTATGACTACAAATGCTTGTTTTTATAAGGGTTTAAATTGTAGGAAATTGGTTGTGGTGATTTTTTTAAAAAATCACTCATTTTAATTTTAAAAAATCTGAATTCATTAATGGAATGAATTTGAACTTTGCCTTATTAAATGTCAGCATGGGTCCAGATGTCTGCCTGTGGGGCTCACTGGTTGATTAGTATGGATGATGTTAGGGCAAAGGGTTGTGGATAGAGAGCATGAATTAAATTGTTTGGCAATAAGTTGGCATAAGAACTATGAATGACCTTGGCTGGAGGGACACAGGTGGAGCGGCCATGGAGGATAGGTTGGTAGCATGGATCAGCATGGATAGGGCATGGGGAATGTGTGTGCACAGGTGAAGTCTGGTGTGTTTGTTTTGTTGTTTTTCTTGCAGCTAGGCCAAAGTGGCAGAGCACAAAGCAGACTTTTTGAACTGCAGTCCTCCTTTGAATCTGACAGGACCTGTAGCTGACTTTGAAATCTTTCAAGGGCTGGTGGCAATTCTCATATCTCTACCTGCTCCTCACCCCTCCGGCAATTTTTCTGACTGTGTGTTCTAAAAGTGAGATGAAAAATTCAGGCAAGAATGTTTCCTGTTGTGTGAGAGAGCATAGTGACAGACAATCAATATAAGATGAACAGCAAATTTCCAATACAGGGTTCACAAGGACCTTTTCTTACTGAAAGAGAATGTAAAACTCACTACTGCAGAAAGAGCTTGAAGTGAACAGTAGTTTTGCCTTTCTGGAGAGACTAGATGACACGTGAGAGTGAAGATAATAGAGGGTTATGCTGGTAGATTAAGATATGGAAAGTCAGGGGGAGGCTCGAGTGGAGCAAAAGTTCTCGTATAGAGTTGATGGGCTGAATGGTTTCTTTCTGAGCCATGTATCATATACAAGACTATTTTCTTTAAAAATGCATATTAATAATTATTTAATTAATATTAAATGCTACTGTTGATCTTTTAAGCAATCAGTTTTATTTGTTGTACAGGTGAATGTGGAGGGAATCAGTTGTAATAAGTGTAAGACTGGTGCTTTTGCGCTCTATTCAAACAATCCTCATGGATGCAGTAGCTGTTACTGCTCAGGTGTGACTACGCAATGTACTGAGGCAAAAGGACTGATCCGCAAGAGAGTAAGTGAATTACTTGCTGTTTCACATTTGATGAAATACTTCTGAACAACTCTGTATCTCCAAAAGGGCAATTGCGACTGTATCTGTCTCCCGTGTATTACTGCTTATTTTGTATTGATCTACCAAAAGTCAAAAGAATCCCAGAGATAGCTTTTGTAATTGTAAGTGAACAATTGAAACTTGAGGTGAAATATTTAATTTGAATGGAAATATATTTCCAGATAATGATTTAGTTGATTTTAAGTTTGCTGTGCAACATTATTGATATTAATCTTACAATTGTACTTTATGATTTGATGTATGTCCTATAAAACTTTGTGTATCTCTGTTTATGGTGCAAAATCTTGAAAATAGGTTTAGTAAAAGACATTCCCACTTCTTTTGTTCTCTGATGTGATATCTTCTTCAAGATTTTTTAACTGATAGTCAGAGAATTAAAAGAGCAGATGATGATGACAGTCGTCTAATTTCACTTCTCTACAGTGAAACATTTTGAAATTGTTCACTGTCTAACTTGGAATATATTGAGTTTGTGGACGTTGCTATAATTCCAGCTGGAGGTAATACTGGACAAGTCAGACCCCAGTGTAAACCCTGGCTGGATAGGTCATAACATTAATTTGTAATTTTTGCAGTAGTGAAGTAATTCACACAAGGCTGCCAATGTTTTTCAACAAAAGCACACAAGTTTGTAACACTAGAAAACAAACAAATTTTTATTTATATGTAAAACAGTTTTGGAATATGTTAACATAATCAGCAAAACAATGTTTCAACTTCTAACACAACAATATTCCTTACAGATACTCAATCCCTGTCAAGTTTACACTTGACCTTCTTGGTAATGCTGTTTTTAGTTCACTGCTGTAAATGACTTTCTGACCTCTTAAAAATACCTTCACAGAACTGAAATTTTGTTTCTATTTCAAAATTCCAAATCTCAAATAATGATTATTTAGTTTATACCTTTGTAACAAGGCTCTACCATTGACTATGTTCAAGAATATGATAAATAATTTGTTGCTTTTTCAGGGAATCAATAAATAGAGGGAATTGGTGAAAAAGTAGAATTGAGGGCGAAGGTCAGCCATGATCACATAAATGACAGAGCAGCTTGGAGGTTTATTCCTACTATTTCTGATATTCTTATGTTCTAATTGACTATATCAGGAATCATGAGCACAATGTGAAATATCAGGTCAACACATCAATGCCTGTTATTCCAATGTAATCAGGGCTAGACCAAGAGCATTTAGGTACCCTTGCACCAAGGGAAACCTTCCCCACTCTTCAATTAACTTTGGAAAATAAATATTGTGCATCACTTTTAATAGAAATTCAATTTTTATATTTGCACATTTATTTTACATGAGAAAGAAGAATATTATGGTATTGTTTTACATTCCCATTGTTCTACACTTTTTGCAGAATCTATAGTGGGAAAAAAAATAGAAGCTGTAATCTGTAATATGGCTCACATGATGTAAAACTTTCTCTTCACGTGACAGATCATTTTATACACAATTTACACAACCAATAATCATTTTAATAGAGTGGGCCAGATTAAATTACATGCTTTGATATTATTTACTGGTTCACAGTTTTGTAATAGTCATGTGGATAGGTAAAGTTATGTAATTGTCACATAAACAGAATAAGGAATATAATATAAAATTTGGGAAAGACTGATGTAATTATGTGGAAACATATGTCAGTATATTTGAATGTAAATCAGCAGACCTAGACCTCTCATTTCCATTGCTGAAGGCTGTATTTACTTTGAATTTCATGAATAGTTCTTTCAGATATTTGTTGTGCTGCCTCCTACTCTGGTATTCTTTTTCTTGGTGACTATCTGGTTTGCCTAATGATTATTTCAGCCTTGACCTCAATACAGTTATTTGTGGTTTGAATTATTATGAAACTATCTTTCAGTTTTCATTGAATGGCTGGAAAATAGCCCACAATGATTTACAGCCACATTCTGGATCCAGATTTTTTTTTGAGTAATATGTTATCATGAATCACCGACCTAACATTGTTCAGTTAATGTTGCTAGCATGTGTTTTGCTGTTGGCTTTCAACTTGTTACAAAGTATGTTTTTACAGTAAGGACTCAACTTTTCAGCACATCTAACAACTGTCTTCTTTTTCTCTTGAAGCTGATGCTTAATCCTGACCAGACTGTACTGAAAATAGTAAATAAACTAAATAACCGCGAAACAACTGATGGTGTCTTTCATCAGCATCCAGAGATAGTAGCTAATGTAGATGTAGTAATTAAACATCTTCTCTATGAGCCTTTTTACTGGAAACTTCCAGAGCAGTTTGAAGGTGAAAAGGTAATTAACTTCTCAACTTCATGTTGAAATGATAATGTTACTTAAAATTATTTACCAAACTGACTGATGGAATTCATCTACTATCTCAAATGTGGAAGTGAAGTACAATGAATGAAGTTATGATAGTCTCCATGATATTCACATGGTTATAAGAGATACACTTCTGGTAATGATAAACATCTCTTATAAGAAATTCTACACTATTTATATGCTGTCATGAAGGAACAGACTGACACAATCTTGCAACAAAAGTTACATTTTAATTGCTAAAATCTGGTGGGATGGGGTAATGTCAGAGGCTAAAATACAGAAAATCTGGAACAGAAATCCAATTCAAACCTGTTTGCTTCTGGTTATAATGGAGTTTGTCCAAGGTGTGGGTGGTGAATGCATTTAGAGGATCTAATTATCATATACCGTGGTCATTTAATTATAATGGGCTTTCTGACTTTGCTTTAACAGTCATTCTAATTTTTTATCCACAGGCAGTTGGGTTTCCCAGATTTCAGGAAACTTGGCAGTTTGAAGTCAGAAAAAACTGGGAGGAGCACGTTCATTTCTTCCAGGCCCAATAAACAACCCAGTAAGCCTTCCCCAACCCTATCACTCCAGTAATCTCACTGCCTTTGTTCTGTGACCACCTTCTACTTCAACCACTTGCTCCCCATACTCAATCAGATCCATCCCCACAACTGGGAACCCCACCTTCTATTATCTCACTTCCCCAATAATCTTCTCCCCCAGGTTTTAGTGTTGTGAGGCAGACAAAAATACTTCCAGCTGCCTGTGGGTAAGAAACTCAGAAAAAATATTTAAAACATATTTAAATATTTTAACCTGCAGCTAGATTCTGCGGTACAATTGGGAAATGCACTGTTATTGTAATCTCTACCAGATTGTCAGATGGCAATTACTTTTCATTTCGTTCAGACAACACCATTAAATAACTTCGCATTTATAGCCCTGTATTTTGTTATGTGATTTTAATGAAATGCAAGCATTATGAGCTTAATCAAATATTCTGATATGCTAACTTTTTTTTAAGATTGCAACTTAATTTTTGAAACAAGATTCAGTACTGTAGCTTTGTGGAGCGAGTTCAGAACTGATGCAATTAAAGAATAAAGTTATCATAAAAAGGATACTCAAAAAACTGATGGAGACTTCTAATGAATTTCTCAGTTATGTCTAGTGTTTCTCAGTATGAACATTGTGAATGAACTTCATGTTTGTTGTGAGTTGTGATTCGGAAAGTGTGAAGTTTAAAATGTCTTCTTCACATTCAATTGATGGTCAAGCAATTTTTCACACCAGGACTAGCCAGAAGATGACGAGATTAAAATTGTTGGGCAAACATTGTTTGTTGTAGTTTTTCATTATTGAACATGAAGCACTATCACTTACCAAGTTATCTTCAAGCAGCCTCAGTTGTAAGACTATATCTCAGCGAGAGAAACCTTTACAAAGTTCTAAACAATTCAAATTTTTAAGATAGACTACATACACTATGTAAAAAAACAGTCTTCTGCATCTGAAGCAAGTCTTTTCGTATGATTTCCAATCTTCACTGGATTAAGAATATCAATTTTGGAGAATACTATTGCTGGAATTCTTCAGCTTAGCCTTTTTTATTTATTCGCGGGATGTGGGTGTCACTGGCTGGGCCAGCACTTATTGCCCATCCCAAATTGCCCAGTGAGCAGTTAAGAGTCAACCATATTGCTGTGGGCCAGGAGTCACATGTAGGCCAGACCAGGTAAGGACAGCAGATTTTGATCCCTAAAGGACATTAGTGAATCACTTGGGTTTTTCCGACAATCAACAAAAGCATGATCATCATTAGACTCTTAATTCTGAGCCTCAACAATGTTCACCAGCTTCATCACTGACTTCCCATTCATATAAGGTGAGATATTGCTTTTAATTGTTCTGTACATAATACCATTAGTGAGGAGGTGATAGTGTAGTCGTATTGGTGCTGGACTAGAAATTCAGCGATGCAGTTAATGTTCTAGAGGGCTCTTATGTTGCAGTAGTAGTGTCCCTACTTCTGAGCCAGAAGGCCTGCGTTCAAATTCCACCTTCTCCAGAGGTGAGCCATAATTTCCCTGAACAGATTGATTGAAACTACCTATGGTACCGTCAGTCAAACGTCAGATCCTGAGCTGAACAATACTGTACCTTGTATAGATTCTCCCAGCAATACAGTGAAGATACACTAGATTGTTCTCTGGGTTGAGAGTGTTGTCTATGATGTATGACTGATTAAATAAGGTCCACATTCTCCAGAGTTTAAAAGAGTGAGGAGTGATCTGACTGCAAAAATCCAAGATTTTGAAGAGGCAGATGCTGAGAGGTTATTTCCACTGCTGGGGAATCTAGAAAACAGGGACTCAGCTTGAGGATAAGGAATCAATCATTTTCTACAGAGATGAGAATTTTTTTTTCAATAAAGGGATTGCAAATCTTAGGAATTCCCTCAGTATTACACTGGGCTAAAGCCTTGAACTTACTATTGGGACTTGAATTCTCAATTTCTGCTTCAGAAGCAACAGTGCCTAAGAATGGAGCTACAGCTTGCACAGTAGATCAGAAATTCTTCCCTGAGTGATTGACCCCCTATCCCCCAAAGCATTCAAAGCCTTTTCACCATGTACATTTGGGAGTATCAAGTTCCCTTCTAAGCTACACACAGTTGTCACTTGGTCCTACATCGCCATTCCTTCATTATTACTGAGACAAAAACCTGCAACTCCCTTCCTAATAGCACAGTGTGTGCCTATATCAAAGGGATTTCAGTGATTCAACAATATGACTTAAGCATCGCCTGCTCAAATGAAATTAGGGATAATCAACAAAAGCTGGCCAGGGTAGATTCTTTAAACCTTTCCAGTGATACCTACATAAATCCTCCTGTGAGGGTGTAGAGTAGCTGTACATCCAGCAGATGTAGGCTGAAGAAGAAAAGGCTTCTGCAAGGCCACAAGGTAACACCATTCTCCAAAATTGATTATCTTAATCCAGTGAAGATTGGAAGCCATACTAAAAGACTTGAATGGAGTTTGCAGGTGGATGTTTCACTAGCAGAGATGGATGGAATCCCTGGCATACCAATGACATCCACCATAGGTATCACTTGGTAAAAGGGCTTGTACAACAGATCCTCCCACAAGGGTTCATAAAGATGTTGTAAAAGGGACAGAATTCTGCAAGCACTAGGTCCTACCTCAAATTCCTGTCCTTTCCAGATGGCTATCTTGCTCTCTGTAATCTGTGAGTGTTTCGCAAATTGTGTTTAGTATTCAAGAGGTCAGAGCAATGTATTCAACTCACCTGTCATTGTGCCTTATTTTGTTTCACAGCTCAAAGCTTATGGTGGCAAGTTGAGGTATGCCATTTATTTTGAAGCTCGAGAAGAAGTGGGTCAATCCACCTACGAACCACAGATTATTATGAGAGGTGGGCCCGCAAGCAAGTTGACCATTGTACGACATGTATCCGCTCCTCAAATTGGTCAGTTAACCAGACACGAGGTAGAGCTCACTGAGGTATGTTTATACTTTTGCAACACCTTACATATCATTTTTTTCAGTTACTGATAAAGCAGTTATTATCTATCCCATCTTTTGGCCTGGATATTAAAAACATCAGGTTACTTAGACTAGGGGAGGGTTGTAGACACAGTTTTTGTGTTGAAGCAAACTATTCAGTTTTTATCCTTGACAAGCTGCTTGCTCGGAAGTCAACCTGACTGATAGATTTGGCTTCTAGTCGTCATGATGGAGGGAAGATCATTGATGAAGCAGCTATAATGAAGGAACTCTGTTGATTTCAAGTATGCTCCTCATTTCTGAAGGAGCCAGGATCTAAATTCCCAACCCGAAATGTGGAACACAATGCTCAAAGACAAAAGTAGGGGCTGAGTGGCAATCTGACACGGATTGCGAATCCTTCAAAAATTAGGTCTTTACCATCACTGGCTGTGTGTTAATCCAGCACATTTTCCAATGCTGATGATCCACTGCCAAGTTGCACCCTGGTAATGGAAATGAAAGTCTAGACAGCTGGCTCAAACCTTCACGTCAAATTCGTCCATCTAATGAAAAGTATCCCTGTCATAATTAGCTTCGAGAACAAAAGAAAAGAAAAGCTTGTTTTTGGATTAGAGTTCAGAACAGTTGAATTGCTAAACTACTCTTCATTGGGTAAACTAATCCTTGCATTTATACAGTGCATTGTAAGATTTAATCACCTCAAAGCACTTTACGCAATTATTTTGAATGCAGTAATAACAGCTTTGTAGAAAAATACCACAGACAAATGTTACATAGGCATGCAACAAATGACCAGTTAATTTATTTTGTTATGTCGTTGGTATCCAAAGGAGCATTGATCAGAACTTCATATTCTGCCTCAATTAATGGCTTGGGAACATTGATATACACCCTGAACCACCAGAAGAATCTTGGTTTAAGAGTTCTGACATTTCAAGCCTTCCATTTCTGTCTTGATGGTGGTGGTGCAGATTGCTGAATGAAGAAGGATGGTTAACATTCATCTTCCTTGCATTCCTGGTATTCTGGTCATTATTATAGAATTCTATAGAATCCCTACAGTGTGGAAGCAGGCCATTTGGCACATTGAGTCCACGCCAACCCTCCAAAGAATATCCCACCCAGATTCCCCCCACTGTCCCTGTAACCCTGCATTTCCCATGGCCAATCCACCTAACCTGCACATCTTTGGATTGTGGGAGTCAACCAGAGCACCCAGAGGAAATCCACACAGGTACAAGAAGAATGTACAAACTCTACACCGTCGCCCAAAGTTGGAATCAAACCTGGGTCTCTGGTGCTGTAATGGAACAATGCCAATCGTTAGCTACGGTACTGCCCTACTGAGCCACCATGCCGCTCTTAAAATCAATTATTGAAGCACGTACCTGATTTCTGTCTTCTGATGCTGTATTCCAATCGGAAACAACTCATGTCATAAGTGGAATCTTGCATTTCAAGGTTAATGTCATTTGAAATTTGGCATTTTCGACAATGCAGCATTCCCTCAATATGGTCCCTCAATATGATTCATGTGCAAAATCAATTGGCTCTTGACAATTCCTGTTGAATTTGGAATTCATGATTTCGTCAGAGTATGAATGGCTAATTTACCACAGCAAATTCCATTTTCTCTGTGAATCACTTCATTGAGCTGTATAATTACTCTTCGCACCTGTGCAATACAAAAATTTAATCAAAGGTTATCAGATCAATTTACTGATGATACATTCCTGGCAGGATACATGGAGAATAAAATTAGAATTCTGTACCTATATCTCTTATAGACTCTCCTCAAGCACCGATCATCAATGAGAGTATAAGGTGAAGGAATTGTCAATAAATTACATTATGATGTGGAGATTAAAATTAAAGCTTTTACATCAGTAATAGATCATTCATTCAATTAACTAATTATTGTTGGGCTCAGGGGAGGGGTGAGATAAACCGAAGATTTTCTGTAAATAATCTCTAAAATATTTTTTATTCAGCATGATTGGAAATATGACAATTCACCAGATGGCAGACCTGTTTCTCGCAAAGACTTCATGGATTTGCTGTATGACATTAATTCCATCCTCATTAAGGCATCCTACGGGACTTTCATGAGACAAATCAGGTATAAACAGAAGCCAACATATGAAATTAAAATGCTAGTTTTAAAAATGCAGCTTCTGGACCAAAAGGTCTTCAAGTTGTAATTGATTTTTAAGATCTTCTGCTCCTGGGATCAAGAAGCATAGGAGTTGGGAGGTCATGTTGTGGCTGTACAGGGCAATGGTTAGGCCACTTTTTGGAATTCTGTGTTCAGTTATGGTCTCCCTGTTATAGCAAAGATGGTATGAAACTTGAAAGGGTTCAGAAAAGATTTACAAGGATGTTGCCAGGGTTGGAGGGTTTGAGCCATAGGGAGATGCTGAATAGGCTATTTTCCCTGGAGAGTTGGAGGCTGAGGGGTGATCTTATAAAAGTTTATAAAATCATGAGGGGCATGGATAGGGTGAATAGTCAAGGTCTTTTCCCCATGTTAGGGGAGTTCAAAACAAAAGAGAATAGGTTTAATGTGAGAAGGGAAAGATTTAAAAGGGACCCAAAGGGCAACTTTTTCACACAAAGGGCAGTGTGTGTATGGAATGAACTGCCAGAGAAAGTGGTGGAGTTCAATTACAATATTTAAAAGGCATCTGGATGGGTATATGAATAGGGATGGTTTAGAGGGATATGGGCCAAATGCTGGCAAATGGGACTAGATTTATTTAAGATATCAGGTCGCATGGAAAAGTTGGACGGATGGATCTGTTTCCATGCTGTACTACTCTATGACAATATAATCTCCCTAATCTGAATATTTACATGAACTAGCCTTTAAATAGATAATTGCTGAAGTAATTTGCAAGATGAAAATCAGTCAAATTTGTGTTGTCTGGGATACGTGGGAGGTGCAAGCAACCTTAGCCAAAAACCAACTTTGAAAAATAGGATTTTAAAACAAATTTGAAGAAGGTACGTCATTAGTAGTGGGTCAGCCATGATTTTATTGAATAGTGTCACAAGCTTGAGGAGCCAAAAAGCTGCTTCTGTTCCTGTGTTCCTTTCACTATTTGTATAGCTGCAGTAGGAGCTTTTGATACTTGAAATTTGATGAACATGCTAAGGGTATTTATGCTCCAGCAGCACGTTTCACTTGATCAGATTCCTTCTTGGGATGCATTTATTTAGATGTTGTTGCTTCATTTATTGGTTAATTGTCCATGTGTTGTAAAGTTTTAGTAGAATTTATCAGATTAAGAGGCTGTTTTATTTGTCAGAGATGTTTATCCATTACGATGATTCTTCCATTTTAATAAATCATTATACCAAGTCAAACCAATCAGGAATGACATTTATCTGTATGAGAATTTATGGAATTACATTATCTGAAAGAAAGTGACTTTCTCTCTCCCATTGACAGGTGTAGAGTTTTACCCAGTTTGTATTATTAGGGAAAGCAGTGTTTGTAAAACATTCCTAATCAAGTTCAGCATGGCTGATTTGATAGAGAATAATGAGCCTTAGCTCTAACAGCTTGTGAAGTTACCATAAATGTGCAATCTGGTTAAATATACATAGATTAATGACAGTAATGTCAAAATGTAGGGAGATTTAATTTACAGGCAAAATTGACAATTCAAGATGTTTAACAGATTTCATTTTTTTTATTTCAAATGTCAATCCAGAATCTCTGAGATATCTATGGAAGTGGCTGAAGCCAGTGATCACTACTTCAGGGCTGAACATGCCCAACAGATTGAGCAATGCTTTTGTCCAGAAGGTTATTCTGGCCTGTCATGCCAGGTAATGTCAATGTTCTTGGAGCCTATGGTAGCAATGAAAGAAAGGGTGAAGCCAAAGATAAAAGTTCACTTTTGTAAAGAGGAATGAAACAAAAGCTAGAATAAATGCTGACAATATAAATGAACAGATAATTGTGTGATAATACTCTAGAAATAATACATCGTTGGTGTAAACAGATTTTTAATATCAGGACTAATTTCAAGGATTTTGTTAATTTGTTGACATCAGTTTGACAAAATTGGAAGTTGTAGTGGACAGTGAGAAGGTTACCTCAGAGTCCAACGGCAATTTATTTCAATTGCTTGATAACCTTTTTTTTGTGGGTGTCATTGGTTATGCCAGCATTTATTTCCAATCCCTAATTGCTCAGAGGGCAGTTAAGTTGGTGACACTAACCAACTTTAGAATAATTAATTATATTTTTCGCAAACACAGTTTTCGAAATGTCTTCTTTTGATCTGGTTAATACATGAGATATATAATGGATTTTTTTTTACTGATGCTGGGGAATCAGTTTTGTTTTGCCAATAGCAAAGTCAAATATTTGCTGACACTGGTCAACCCACAGGTGGTATTTAATGCTGGGCAAGAGAATGGTGAAAGAGGTGAGCAGGGCACTGAGTAGCACAGGAGCAGTATCAAAAACTTGATGTGGAATGGAAACACTACATTATCCCGGTTCGGGGAATGTGGAGGGCACAGGACAACAAAGCCAATGTCATGTGGAGGGAAGCCAATTACATTAGTTCCACAAGCAATGAATACTCTCAAACCACAACATTCAGCGATTAAATGCTACCTGAACAAGTTGGCAGTGTAGGGGATGCACGGGCCTTTCCTTTCACAACTGGTTAAATTTGGTGGTGAGCAGGCGAGTCGGTCCTCAAGGTGGATGGTGAGCTGTTTAGAGCTGCCTATCACTGCTGAGAGATTGTTGTGTGTGAAGGGAGAGGAAGCTGAAAGGGAGATCGAGTGCAACTCTGAGATTAACACCAAGGCGAGTTTCACCAATATCTGAGTGGGTCTCATTCAGCTCCAGGTAAAAAATGTTTACTGAGGTCAGGTTGGCATCATAGGACATAACCTTGCCAGGCCTATTCTCTCTGTTAAGCTTCTGGAGGTGCAATTGATCCCATGCATCTGGAGCCTCAAATGCAGGAGGAAATGCATAGAGGAAGGAAAGAATTGAGCGTAGTTGAAGTGTGACCAGAAGAGCAGCAAAGGTTATCAACTATAGCAGAACCAGATGCTGACTGCAAACAGGACAAAGGCTATCAGGACCCAGTCGCATTCAGAGCAATGGAATGTTTAAGAATCCACTTCCTTTGTCTTAACTGTCTGAAAATATTGGAGATGCATTGCCAGTGGCAGCTGGAGATATCTTGAGAGGCATTCACAGAACACAGATGCCTTGTGACCCACTGGACTGGGAGGGAGTCCAATGTTACTGGCAGTAAAAGTCACAACAGCATTAAACATCTGTATCAACAACTCCTTTTCGACTGTTGGTTTCTACTCAGCAGAATCCAAAATGAACGTGTGCGCTGGCACTGCAATGTGATCCCGCCAATGCGCAAGTTAATGATCTATTACGTAACATGAGCCAGTCTCTCATAGGCTGTAACATGGAGCACACCTTCAGAGAAATGTCTTTCAGATATTGGCACTACTTCCCATATTGATTTTAGCTTTCCATGTGAGTTGGTCTTTTTTTCAGTACGCGGGATATTAATAGTCGTAAAAGATTCCGATCACTTTATACCATAGACTGTGTTATAATGATTTGTCAGGTTAACAGTTTGGTCATCTTCTGAAATTTACCTTTTGCTTAATTGGTTCTGAACCTCATTGATGTATTTGCATTTGTGCACACTCTTATCGTTTTATTGTCAGTGTTGTGCCGTTATATGGTCTTTCTGAAATTCTGTGTTTTGGTCTGGGGTCTGGCTAGGCTTTTGGAACAAGATTTCCTGCACATGTATGCCCAGTGTTTGTTTGTGCCACCTGCTTTATTGACATAAATGGATAGGTGGACAGACCACATCTGTTACAGATTTGTTGATTTGGTGCACTTTGCTGACGATCACAATGGTGTTGGCTGCACGTAAAGTATGGAATTATTGTTGACCTGCCAATATGGCTTCGTTCTTCCGTCCATTATCAAATAATGTGTCAATAGTCTAGCCCATTGTCGTGACCAAAAGATTGTTCCTAAAGGCTTTAATTAATGTCAAGTTGAACAGTCTGTCTGACAATTCCTGTTCAGAAAACAATCACAGTCTCATGTTCTTTGCTGCAGCTTCTTCATAGAAACTGATCGGTAGACTCTTGGTGTTGTTGTCTGTATGACAGGGTTCAGAGTGTATTAATCCTGAAGTTAATTCTTTATTTGAGCTTGTCTTCATGAACCTTCCAGAACTTTTCTAAACATTTCTAATTATGTATGGAAAGACTGGATGTGTTAATCCTGCAAAGGCCATTATTGTCAATGACTAGTACACTTTGTAGAGCACTTTTCTTGAGATCATCAATTTTTGGTCTGCAAAATACTACAGATGTTGTCTGAATGGTTTTAGTTCAGTAAGGGTGTTACTGGATGCTACAGCCATAATGAGGGTTTTGCTATTCATGACTCTGCCAAATCTTGAAATCTTGGACTATATCCCCTTAAACTGTATGTCCCTGACTGTGTCAGTGTAAATTAAAACCACTCTATCCTCTATAAGAAAAACTTACAGCTGGATCAACTGTCAGAAACAGAACGTTCTAGCTTTCTGTACTTCACTGAACTTATGTTCCAGCTCAAGAGTACACCTCAAAAACTACAGCAATAATTCTCTCAAGACCCTCTTAAGATCAAAGTGTAAATATGCTGAACCAGAGAAAGGAGGCATTTTGTAGCCCTTTTTGTTCCGTGGCTGGACACATTTCAACATCTTCTTCCTGACAGCCCTGCAGTTGGTGGAGACAGAGATAGTAAGGTTGAAATCAGTTGGACTTGGGATCCAAACTCTGCTTCGTTAATCAGCACTTTCATGCGAAAGGATGGGAGCAGTAGGAATAGCCAGTGACCTCCTCATGATGTTTGGATTGTTGGGTAGTGGGGGTATGCTGTGAAAACTGAGGTTAGGTTAAGTATACAGTGCTAGGCATTACCTTCCAACATTGTTCGATTTTCCAATTTTGCCCAGGAGAGTGAAGGGAAATCCAGCTACATATGCTTAACTGAAATGGGCAACAGCAAGTTTGCCATGGTAAAGTAGTTAAAATTTAGGCAACACTTGAAAGAACCTAACTTTTCATCAGCTTGTTCTATTCCTTTTGGAAACCATATGTGTTGATACTGATCAAAGGTAAAAAATTGTCAGCGTATCTGGCTGATATCTCTTGCCATGGTAAGTGCAGAGTCCATCATAGAACGTGAAAATGATAAAAGCCAACAATGCCTTCTGTTTCCTTATCCTTCAGGATTGTATGCTCGGTTATTACAGAGTACCGTTGAGATCAACAATCAGGGAGCACAGACTGGTGGTGTGGAGCTGTGTACAATGTCAGTGCAATGGCCATAGTGACATTTGTGACAGTAAGACTTCGATTTGTCAGGTACCAAAATGTCTATTACTGTTTATTACTGTTTGATCAAAAGAGCTGAAGAAATTGATTTCTAGTGAATTTTTTGAACAGTTGTTGTCACCGTTGTAATATAGGGAAAGGGCCTACCTTATTCGAGACCCATCGCCAGACTTTTGCTTTAATTTTTTTAAGAAATGGAGCTCAGAAGTGAAGGAGGCTTATTTTTATATGATTAATGTCATTTTTAAAATCATACCAAATTTGGCTAAAATAAAATTTCGAGGTCATCATCGTCCTCCATGAGCAAGAGATTGCCTGGTGGTGAGTTTAACCTGAGGGTCACCACACATCAGGAGAGTGGTGAAGTTCAGGATTAGGGACCTTCATGGTGACCTCAGCTGGTCCAGGAATTGAAAGCATGCCGTTGGCCGCACTCTGCATTGCAAACCTTCCATCAAGTCAACTGAGCTTACTGCTCCTCTGGCTAAAAATGTACTCTATAGGAAACATTCATCTCATAGGATTACCAGGTCAAAACAATCTCCAGCAAGAAAAAAGCTTTACTCTTTCTCCAGAAGCTTAAAAGGACAGGCCTTGTCAACAGTGGAGCCTAGCACTCTGCAAGAGCCAGACCAGAGTCAGACTGCTTAACTGTCTACAAGCCACAAATCAGGTTTGTGACACTCATGCACATGCTCATAAACAAGAACAAATATGCATGTCAGTTTCACTTGGGACAGTGAAAGCTTTGCTACCTGACTCAATATTCTTCCAGTCACCACTGATGCACTGTGATTGCAGTATCTACTGTCTACAAGAGGGATAGGCAAAAAAAGCTGGTCTAGCCATCAGTGACCATGTCCCATAAATGAATAAAAAAACATTCACTGAATTTTCTTCATTTTGAGTTCCTGGTTCTGTGATCTCAACCATGGAGAAGGACAAGAGAAACAATATTATTAGGTCATCAAGTACCTAAGTTCACCTCCATAACACACACCATCCTTATGGCCTTATCCACTGGCCACCAAGCCAGTTGTGAAATGGCCCCCTCCATTTCCAGAAGTGGGGATCAGACAT